CATGGTGGGGGTCTGGCATAACATGGTGGGGGGTCTGGGATAACATGGTGGGGGGTCTGGCATAACATGGTGGGGGTCTGGGATAACATGGTGGGGGGTCTGGGATAACATGGTGGGGGTCTGGGATAACATGGTGGGGGTATGGGATAACCAGGGATGACTGGGTGAGGGTTATTGAGTGAGTGTGTAGAGCTGGCCGAGGTGCTGAAATGGAAGGGAACAGGTGCAGCACATTTAATTTGGTGGATGGGACATAAAGGTATACAATTACATATAAAAATACAGACACACACACACACTGACAGACCTACAGATACACACAGACACACACACACATTGACAGACATACAGATACATACACACTGACAGACCTACAGATACACACACACACACATACTGACAGACATACAGATACACACGCAGACACACTGACAGACATATAGATGCTTACATAGACACACACTAAAAGGCATACAGACAGACAGATACACACACTGACAGACATACAAATACACACACACACTGACAGACATACAGATACACATACACATTGACAGACCTACAGATACACACAGACACACTGACAGACCTACAGATACACACAGACACACACACACTGACAGACATACAGATACACACGCAGACACACTGACAGACATATAGATACTTACATAGACACACACTAACAGGCATACAGACAGACAGATACACACACTGACAGACATACAGATACACACAGACACTGACAGACACATATAGACACACTGACAGACATACAGATACAGACACACACACACACTGACGGACCCCCTCCTCACTGCCGCCCTTCCTGTGCGGCTCCACCTCTCTCAGGCTGCCAATAAGCAAGGGGCCCAGTCACGCTGTTAAATGGCCACAACGCTCAAACAGGCCCTTGCTGGCAAAGGCCCATCAGATGGCCCTAAGTGCAGGGGACACCTGATCGGCCCCTTTAGTGTGCGGGCTCCACAAAATCCTGGGCAATAGTGTGTAGGGGTATGTTTTATAAAGGTGTATGGGAGTAGAGGTATGTTGTATGAGTGTGTAGGAGTAAGGGGTATGTTGTATGAGGGTCTATGGGAGTAGGGATTATGTTGTATAATAATATTACCTTACTACCACCCTCTCAAACATCATTGTGTCTTGGGGTTTGGCGGGCATGGGAAGGTGTGCAATATACTGGTGGGTGTAATGGCTGCTGAGATTGTTAAATGACATAAATGATGATAGCATGGGAATATGATTTGGGGAATAATGCTGCTCTGTACTTAAGGTGGTTAAGTCTGAATGGCCATAGTGTGGTGGTTGTTTTGTGGCAGAGTCTTGGTGGATAGAAGTTCAATAAATAATGTGGTGAAGTTTAAGGCAGTAGTGGTGGTTGGGAGTGATATTTAAGGAGCGGGGCAAGTGAAAACATGAAAAGTATAGATAAAGGGATCTTAACCTTAATCTATATTACAACATGTAATACAGCTGTGAGCATTGTACAGTGGCTTAAGTACAGGAAACCAACATGCAAGGTATAAGGAGAGCGCAGACATGGAATATCGATGATTAATTTAGTGGTTCTGTGATGTATAAGGTTGATCTGGAACTGCTGCAGATATCTGATCATTGGGGCCTATATTACCGACGCCCCACTTGTATTTTATTTTATCTAAAAGAGTCATTTTAACATGACTTTTACCTCTTTTTTTTTCTCACCTGGCTATATGTCACTTTCTTTCTCAGGTTATACTATTTTTTTTCTTAGTTTCTATATGGCTGACATCTGTCTTTTACTCCCAGTGTTAATTTTGGCGGCAAATCTCGATTTTAGTTTTAGTTGTAGTCTTTGTTTAGTTTTAGTCGTATTTTAGTTATCTAAATAGTTTTAGTCGTATTTTAGTCGACTAAATCTCCAGTGGCCTTTATCTGTTTCCTCTGCCTCTTCCCCAGCCCCTCTGTGTCTATTTGTGTCCTCCCAGCCCCTCTAGGTGTCTCTCTCCCAAGCACTGGTCTGTCTCTTTTGCCCCTTCCACATCCCCTCTGTGCAGTGTTTATTTTGGCGGCAAATTCCAATGTAGTTTTAGACATAGTCTTTTGACTAAAAAGCCATTTTAGTTTTAGTCGTATTTTAGTCATCTGAATTGTTTTTGTTTTAGTTGACTAAATCTCAAATATTTTAGTCGACTAAAATTTTGTCGACAAAATTAACACTGGTCTATACACCTATCACTCCCAGCATTGGAGGCTGTTGGGACGTGCTGTTCCAATTAATATCCCCTCATAGAGACGCATTGAATCATTGCATCTCTACGTGGAATGTTCAGCGTCTCCAGTGGACTAGAAAGCAGTGTCTGAGTGACTGCCACTAGAAGTATTAGTAGGCACTAATGTAAACACTGTCTTTTCTCTGAAAAGGCAGCGTTTACATTGAAAAGCCTGCAGGGACAAGCTATAGAAACCAGAACAACTACATTAAACTCCATTCTCCATTAAGGTAACATGATTCTTTCAGTCACTGTAATCATGTAATGGGTCTGTAATCCTTTCCTGTTTAGCCCTCTCTTAACTCTTGCTCTAATCCCTCTATATTTCACCTTCACTCATTCTGTCGTTTCTTCCTCTAATCTGACTACTGCTTATTCAACACCCCTTTCTCTCACTATCTCCATTGTCTCTTTCGATCTATTTCCCAATCTCTGATTGTTTATATCTTCCCTACCCATCTCTTTTTATTCCCCCATCCTCCAATAATTCTATCTTTCTCTTCTCCATCCCTCTGTTTCTATTTTTTTTTTACCTCTGTCCCTCTCTCTCCATTAATCTTTCTCCATCGTTACCTTTCCACCCATCTCTGTTTACATCTCTCTCCAGTCATCCTTCTCTCTATTCATACATATCTCTCCATCCTACCTCTCTATTCATCTGTCTTTGTTCACCCATCTATGTCTGTCCTCCCAACTGTCTCAATCTGTTTCCAACTTTCTCATTCACTGATCATACTTCATCCACTGATCTTTCTCCATCCCTCCATAACTCTCCAGTCACCCATCTTTCTCTCTCCACCTATCTCTATATTTACCCATCTCTCTCCTGGTTTTGCTACACCTACTAGAGGTGTCTTTCTTTTCATGTTATGTCTAGCTAGTCTAATTACTGGTAATACTAGACTAGTTTAGGTTTATCCCAAGATCTCCATCCACCCATATCTCGCTACTCACCCATCTATCTCTCTCTCTGTTCACACATCTCTCTATATTCACCCACCCAGCTTTCTCCTTATCCACCCATCTATCTATTTCTATCTCCTTCAATTAATCAATTTTTCTCTGCTTCCTCATCTCTCTCCATTTCCCCTGTCTCTCCATTCCCCTCGGTCTCTCTATCTGCATTCTCCCCTTCGTCTGTTTTCATTTCCCCAAGTCTTTATTTATCCCCCGCCATTCTCTATTTACGCGTCTCTCTCCGATTCCCCACTGTCTCTCTCCGATTCCCCACTGTCTCTCTCCGATTCCCCACTGTCTCTCTTCGATTTCCTACCCCCGTCTCTCTTCGATTTCCTACCCCCGTCTCTCTTCGATTTCCTACCCCCCTCTCTCTTCGATTTCCTACCCCCCTCTCTCTTCGATTTCCTACCCCTCTCTCTCTTCGATTTCCTTCCCCCCTCTCTCTATTCACACATTTCTTGGTTTCCATCTACCTCTATTCACCCAACTTTCTCATCTACTGATCTTTCTCCATCCCTCCATAACTCTCCAGTCACCCATCTTTCTCCCTCCACCTATCTCTATATTTACCCATCTCTCTCCTGGTTTTGCTACACATACTAGAGGTGTCTTTCTTTAAATGTTAAGTCTAGCTATATTCTAATTACTGGTAATACTAGACTAGTTTAGGTTTATCCCAAGATCTCCATACCCCCCCACCCCCCCACAGCAAATTGACTGCTTGTAGCCTACCAGTGGTGTATTCTGGATTTGTGCTGCCCTAAACACAACTAAATTTTAGTACCCCCCAATCTAAATTTGCCCCCACCACTTTGTATCAAAGCCACTTATTTGACTGACAGACTCACGCCCTCATTGACACATGCACTGCTATACACTCACTGACAGATACACAGTCAGTGGCACACACCTACAGTCATTGGCACACACACTGTTTAAACAACACACACTGACACTCTCACTCACTGACAGGCACACACTCTCAGATACACATACACTCACTGTCACAAACATACTCACTGATTTGACACACTC